CTTGAAAACTTTAGTTCATACAATTGTGTTTAAACGTATTGAGTAGATACAGGGATACCCACAAAGGATGAGACGTCATAGACGACTGTACGAAATATATACTGTTTCTTTCTTTATTTTTATAATTCTCTGCAACTGTAAACATGTTTATTTCTTTGTCAAATCATTAAAATTAGCCATTTGAATACTTTATTAAGACTTAATTCATAGTTGGGATTGTCATATCTTCAGAGTTCGTCTTTGCAGTCTCATCCTTAGTTGGTAACCCTGTATCTTCAACACATATCNGGGGGGGTAGTGTAAAGTATAATTGATGAATGTATATTTATATATATATATATAATATATAGTAGATGTCGTGCAAGAAAGCTACCTTTGTTCTCCTACTCCACAGAATTAACCTCTGGTTGAGTAATTCTTTACAACATTGCCAAAATCCAACCTAGTACATATATGTACCATTAATATACATAAAGATTATAGATAAAGGGTGTTAAAAAAAACATTTCACACTTTTTTCTCTCAGAGGCTTACTTTATACCCGAACATAATGAAATTAATATCACAACATCTCATCGGGTATTACTTAATAGGTCTATAAGAAAACAAAAATTATTACATTTGGTTAACCCTGCTTTGAATACCTTTAAACAGATTCTTGTCATTTCTGAACCATTCTTAGCTTTGCAAATGTTTGTTTTTGCACGTAGGCTTATCAGTTCCAGAATTTACTCGGAGGAGGGTTGATAAAAACCAATAATTTTATCTCACATAGTCCTAACACCCTTGAGACATTGTGATAATAATTTCATAGTGATTGAGTAAAAGTGTTTCAAGTGAGCCTTTATTTATAGAGAGGAGCATTTTGTAGGGAGAGATAGATATTAATGTTTTTTGAGATTTCTTTACAAAAGTGACCTTCAATTGCAACAGATAATAGAAAAATTGTCAGAATTAAACACTTTTCAATTTATAAAAAAACACGATTACTAGTAATTAATTATTCAGTCCCTTAAAACAATATTGAAACTGATCTAATTAAAGGATATCTTCTCAGCTCTATTAAAAAGCTATTGACAATGAGACTAAATCTTTTGTTTTTTAGTAATCTCTACTTGTCTGTTCGAAAGTCCAATCACAACTCATGAACCCCGGGACCGATTTGCCTCAACTTTTGATTCCAGAATTTGGTATAGAAACAGAGGAATGGTTTTAGTCTGGTTTTAAAAGTCTGAATTGAGTGGGTCAAAATTGAATCGGGACAACTCCAGACACAGCTGGGTTCCCAAGCTAGTATTACATAAATGAATCATCTCTCCATGTGTTATATTACTCAAATTTAATCCAAGTTGACAGTCATGGATGATATGACAGGGGGGGGGTGTAGGAGAAGGGGCTCTGAAGGAGAGCGGGG